AGAGAAAGGTCGTCACTTAGGGACTAAAAATACACAGTTTGTCTTTTAACTCTCTTTCTGGCAACGGCAAAACCTAAAAGAGATTTCGTGTAAATCATTGCTTTCTTGGATAGCATTTAATAAACTTGGCAAGTCAGTAAGCCACTTTTCTTAACATTTTCATGTGAGGTCATTAATGCAGAGATTTTTCACTCCATACATTTTGAAGCTTGTTTTACACTTTAAACTTCGTTTTCTTGACATGTTTTTTATATAAAACTCCAAACCCTTTTGAGTGTAAATTTGATGTTCTTTATTTGTGACGTCCTTGGGTGTCATTCCTCTTTTGCTCTTTACATCAGACATTTTTGCAGGATTCTTTGAATCATTTCAAACATTTAAAGCGTCAAGTCCACGAATAATCCACAAAAAAGCAACAAACCGTATCTCTTTCGTTTAAAGAGATAATTCTTGTGAACCTAACATTTCCTATGTTGTGGCGTCGGCTCCACGGCTTGATCCAATTAAACGCCCTCAATTTGTATCTACATCAACTCATCTCATTTCAGTCTTTGGAGGTGAATAATGTCCCTTACACTCCATATTTTCACTATTTTCCCTTTTATAGCTGAAACAATATTGTCACATACCAGCTTTGATGAATGAGTGACAACGTGTCCATCCAAGTCTGGCATTCGAGTCGCTGAATTACTCATCAAAGATGATCCAAAACCCTTTTGTTTGAAGGGAATCCTTGAATCCCATAAATCAGCATAGTTGATTGTAGAGGTTATTCCTTTATTACGGGTCCATTGGGTGGTTCCTTAACTTGGTTCCACAAGGGCTGTTTTTACTTGATCCACGGGTGGGTTTTACTTGATGTAGTGCAATTGTTTGAGTCAAACCAAACCCAATCCAATTAAGTTTCCAATAAGCCACTATAGGCACTGGGTCACGTTTTTTCCCTTGACGCAAGGCAAAAGAAGTGGAAGTCCAAACTTGTAGATGTTTAGTATGATTTATTTCCTATACTTTGTCACATTACAGAGTTCAAACTTGTTCCATTGCCCTGTTACCTCTCTTCTGCACGGTAAAAACCCCTAGGGTCCCCTAACTTACCAAATGCCTGCTGTCCTTGACCCAGGCTCCAACAATTATAGAAATGGACCGCCCACATTTCTTCCTGTTTTACATAAAATAATGAAAATAATAAAACAACAAACAATCAGGATGCACAAAAATGCAAACAATTTAACCTAGAAATTAGAGTCTGTAAATAATAACAAAATATATCTAAGTTTAGGATTAACACAATTCAAATGGATTGAAAGACAATAGACGAATAAATAGCACCAACAGCTTTATTCTGGTCAATTTAGGACTTTATTTCTGGTAATTTTAAAGGCTTTAACTTCTGGCCATCTCTAAGGCTTTATTCTTGGTAAACTTTAGGACTTTATTCTGGTAATTTTAAGGCTTTATTCTGTAAATTTAGGACTTTATTCTGTAATTATAGACTTTATTCTGGTAATTTTAAGGCATTATTCTGTAATGTTTAGGACTTTATTCTGGTAATTTTAAGGCTTTATTGTGGTAATTTTTAGGACTTTATTTGGTAATTTAGGACTTTTTATTCTGGTAAATTATAGACTTCATTCTGGTAATTTTAAGAAGGCTTTCTATTCTGGTCAATCTAAGGCTTTAATTCGGGCTAATTTTAAGGCTCTTATAAATCTGTAATTCTTTAGGACTTATTCTGGTAATTTTAAGGCTTTATTCTGGTAATTTTAGGACTTTATTCTGGTAATTTTAAGGCTTTATTGTGGTAATTTTAGGACTTTATTCCGGTAAATTTAGGACTTTATTCTGGTAATTTTAGGACTTTATTCTGGTAAATTTAGGACTTCATTCTGGTAATTTTAAGGCTTTATTCTGGTCATTCTAAGGCTTTATTCTGGTAATTTTAAGGCTTTACTCTGGTAATTTTAGGACTTTATTCTGGTAATTTTAGGACTTTATTCTGGTAATTTTAGGACTTTATTCTGGTAATTTTAAGGCTTTACTCTGGTAATTTTAGGACTTTATTCTGGTAATTTTAGGACTTTATTCTGGTAATTTTAGAACTTTATTCTGGTAATTTTAAGGCTTTACTCTGGTAATTTTAGGACTTTATTCTGGTAATTTTAGGACTTTATTCTGGTAATTTTAAGGCTTTACTCTGGTAATTTTAGGACTTTATTCTGGTGATTTTAAGGCTTTATTCTGGTCATTTTAAGGCTTTATTCTGGTCATTCTAAGGCTTTATTCTGGTAATTTTAAGGCTTTACTCTGGAAATTTTAGGACTTTATTCTGGTAATTTTAGGACTTTATTCTGGTAACTTTAAGGCTTTATTCTGGTAAATTTAGGACTTTATTCTGGAAATTTTAAGGCTTTGTTCTGGTCATTCTAAGGCTTTATTCTGGTAAATTTAGGACTTTATTCTGGTAATTTTAAGGCTTTATTCTGGTAAATTTAGGACTTTATTCTGGTCATTTTAAGGCTTTATTCTAGTCACTTTAAGGCTTTATTCTGGTAAATTTAGGACTTTATTCTGGTAATTTTAAGGCTTTATTCTGGCCATTCTAAGGCTTTATTCTGGTAAATTTAGGACTTTATTCTGGTAATTTTAAGGCTTTATTCTGGTAAATTTAGGACTTTATTCTGGTAATTTTAGGACTTTATTCTGCTAATTTTAAGGCTTTATTCTGGTAATTTTAGGACTTTATTCTGGTAATTTTAAGGCTTTATTGTGGTAATTTTAGGACTTTATTCTGGTAATTTTAGGACTTTATTCTGGTAATTTTAATGCTTTATTGTGGTAATTTTAGGACTTTATTCTGGTAATTTTAGGACTTTATTCTGGTAATTTTAGGACTTTATTCTGGTCATTTTAAGGCTTTATTCTGGTCATTCTAAGGCTTTATTCTGGTCATTCTAAGGCTTTATTCTGGTAATTTTAAGGCTTTACTCTGGTAATTTTAGGACTTTATTCTGGTAATTTTAGGACTTTATTCTGGTAATTTTAAGGCTTTATTCTGGTAATTTTAAGGCTTTACTCTTGTAATTTTAGGACTTTATGTTGGGATCCTCAGGCTTGCCCACCAGAGGGCGCCGAGGATCCTCTTCTGCTCTCTTTGTTTTTCCCTTAGGTTTGGAGTTACTGTGGGGATCTGGAGATTACCCTCTGTCTCCAGCAGGATGCGCTGTGGGTCTTCTGGAGCTGGAACCTTCCTGCACACCTGTTCCTAATCCTCTCATTAGAAGACCTCTCCTTTATAAGCTCCTGCCTGACCTTGATCCCACGCCGCAGTGTTGATCTTAGTTGGTTAGCTTCCTGAACCTCTGTTACAGATGAATCTTTGTTATCTCTAGTGTGAGATCAGATTCTAATTCTTCCTTGTCTCTGCCTCACAGGAATCCTGTCTCTTCGTGAAAGCTCTGGATGAGCTTAACCTCCTGTCTCCTCGTGAAGCTCTGCATGAGCTTAACCTCCTGTCTCTTCGTGAAAGCTCTGGATGAGCTTAACCTCCTGTCTCTTCGTGAAAGCTCTGGATGAGCTTAACCTCCTGTCTCCTCGTGAAAGCTCTGGATGAGCTTAACCTCCTGTTTCCCTGTGAAGCTCTGGAAGAACTGTCTCTCTAGCAACCTGTCTCTGGCCTACAGCTCTGGGAGAGTTGCATCATAGGAAGCCAGTCCCAAGCCTGACGCTCTAGGAAAGCTAACCTGCTAATCTGCCCTGGTGAGCCAACCCTAGAAGTCTACGTGGATGCTACCTGTCGACTCCCCTGTGGAGTTTCCCTAAGAGGTTCCCATGTGGATTTCCCCTGTTGTTTCCCTGCAGTGAGCTGGAAGCTCAAATCCAGCCATCTCCCTTTCCCCGCACAGACCCCAGCGAATCAGTCCCCTGCCTGAACTGTGATTCATATGCTTGAGCCTTTAATAAACTCTTTGGATTTTTACCAGTGCTTCCGTGTGTGTTCTGCATCTTGGGCTTACTCTCTGTGACACCCATCATGACACTTTATTCTGGTAATTTTAAGGCTTTACTCTGGTAATTTTAAGGCTTTATTCTGGTAATATTAGGACTTTATTCTGAAAAATGTAAACCTTAGAAAAATGTAAAATAATATAGGGAAGAGTAAAAATATAAAAAATAAAATTCTGTAAAGTGTTTTAACAATATAAAACTGAAGAATTAATAACCAATATGCAGCTATGGACATTTTTACAGTAATGGATATTTGAAAATAGCAGCAACATCAGAGATGTGCAGAATGACAGCAGCAGGTTATTTAACTGACTAAGGTTTCTATCATTACATTTGATTTGATTTGTTCCTGCTCCCGGTGGTTGGAACCTTTATTCCACTCTGGATTCTTGTGAGTGTAGTCTTTGTTCACTTTAACTTTTTAAAAAATAAACAAACAGTTTTGAAAACTTCGGTTTTCATTCTTTTCCTGCTTTGTGTGTCAACATTCACGGTTGCTAAGCAACAGAGCATACAGCGGTAAAACCCGCCGGAGGGTAGACCTGTTCGAATTTACAGCGAAAACTCTTCCGGCCTCCTTATTTTCAAGGACTTCGAAGGATCCAGTCTAGGTAGACCGCGTCTATGGAGGATGCAGCCCAGGTTTTCGAACAGAGCCTCTGATTAAGAACAGGGCTGCCCGCACTGACGCGGCTCAGGGATTACGTCACACGGAGCGTCGTGCGCAGTGAAATCAGGACATTTCCTCACTTTCTAAAAAAAAACCCGGGACGCCCCGGACAGGACGTGAAATACGGATATGTCCCGGGAAATACGGACGTTTGGTCACCATATTTTAAGGCTTTATTCTGTTAATTTTAGGACTTTATTCTGGTCATTTTAAGGCTTTATTCTCATGCCTGGCCGTTAATACACCGTCGTAAGATGCTGATCAACCGTCCTGCTTAACTTTTACATTTCACAAATCTTTTAACTCTGAACCATATCCTTACCTTGTTGTCGACATTTTCTGTAAGTTTTCTAAAACAAACAGGTTTATTCTGATCCCGTGTTTTCCGCAAACATCTTTGTAAGACTCAGAAATAGTTTGATCAGCCATGACGGACGGCTGCTCGGATCCCTGTTACTATGACAACAAGAACAGGCCTAGTAAGGTTCTGCTGTTTTGAACCATGTTTAAGTCAAAATATACTTTTTCTTGATGACCTGTGGTCGTCCTCAGAGATAAATGTATAAATGTTCAATGTTTTTTTTAAACAGTCAATATTCAGTTAAAAATTGTTTAAGAAAAACTTTATGACTAGAATTGGTATTAAAAACATTAAATAAAATATTTAATCTTTAATTTGCTGCAGATTTTCATTTAAAAAAAGCATGCAGTAACAGTGGAGAGAAACAGCCAGAAAAATGGAGACCTCCATCATAAAGAAACTTTCTTCACCATTTTTAACTGCAATGTAGTTTAAAGGAAAAGTCGTCAGCAAGGAATAATCAAGAAATCCTTCTTTACCCCTAAAAATAATACTTTCGTGATGATTTAATGAATTTACTCACGATCACTGTGTCTGGGAGCAGCCATTTTTGCCCAAATATAGTAACCCCTCCCTCCTGCCATCTCCCGGCAGTGACGTCACGGTGCGGTAAGCCTAGCGCCATTCTCCCCGCTTTACAAGCTAAATCAATGGGAACTACTAGACACATCTGCAATCAACAACAATGATTGAAGATTTCCAGAGGACTTCACCATTGAAATTCACCAGAGCTATAGTGAAACTGACAATGCCCACGTGCATGGCAGCTGGATGCTGGAATACATCGGGTAAAAGTGAAAAAAGAGTTATTCAACTTTTCTGATTCCTGAGGATTTGCCATCGAACTTCTAACCAGAGAAAAAACCTGTAATATGTAGCCAACATTTGGATAATAGCGCGTTGTGACAAACACCAGATACAGCACTGGGACGTGTAAAGGAAGAAAATATTCTAACATAGTTAACTTTGGAAAAAGATTGGCTTCTGATTCTTCCCTTCCCCAGGTCCACTCGGCGAGCTGCGTTTGGTAATAAAACCAACATTGCGTGTTGACATCACAAGAATACAGAGTTAAATCCCAATATAAGACAATGCATAATCTTAGAAATAAGAACCATGCACAAACCCTACACCAGAAACTGCATGAAACAACAGAGACATACATTCCTATTATCCTGACATAGAGGAAAGAAATCAAAGACGTACCATACATCTTTTGGAGAGTTTTAGCAAATGAAAGCAAAATCTGATCTTTTTCTTCTAATTAGAAAAGCTTTATCCTCTTGTGTCTAAATCCATTCAAAAAGTGGGCTGGCCCTGCGTCGTTCCTCCAATCAAACGCCATCTCTGACACTGCTAGGGTCTTCCCCTTATTGTACTGGCATACATCAGGGGTCATTTGCTTCTTTTTTTTAACAAGAAAGGGGAAAGCCTTGTCCTGGCAAACAAAAGCATACTAAAGTCATAAATCACAAGATAAGCTCATCCCAGACCAGCTTGTCGGAATGGCGGGCGCCCGGCCTCACTTTCACGTTTTGAGCCTTCTGTAACGCAAGCAGAAATCTCTCCTGCAGGCTTAAAACTGTTAATTCACCCCCAGGAGATACTCATTCTATGGGCTGGTGGATCTAAATCACATTCCATTAGTAGTTTTAAAATCATTAACACAGCCTTGTTTCAAAATAAGAATATGTTCAATGTGAGAGTGTTTACACATGCCATAAGATAACTGTATAAAGTCTAAAAAATCATTCAATTTTCTTCTCAACAGATGTTCCCCCGTTTTCGATGGTCCTGAGACATACAGACCTCACAAACAATTAAAATGATAAGCCTTCTAATTAGAGAACCCAAAAACTATTTAGTATACTTAAAAAAACTAAATACATAATAAGCCCAATTTTTTCTATAACCAGTCCGCCTTTTTAAACAGCAACCCCATAGGTCCACAGCCAGGTCATGTGTCCTAAAGCTAAACTCCATAATCTAAACTTATCCAAATGTATCTTGCGGCTGTCCAAACAATTTAAACCTTCACCTGAAGTAACCACAAATTTTAACCATAAAAACTAAACTAACAAATAAATTCAACACCAGCCAGTTAAGAGCAGAGAATTTCACACACCACCCTAATGGAAAACATCAAAAGCACCAAATTGGTTTTTCATAGCAGGTCATAATTCACTAATTGAACAAATAAAACCACAGCAAATCAGATGTCACAAATCAGCCACCAAATACCATACCAGTCGGTCAAAGTTAAAAAACCCCCCACGTTCTCGAGTCAAAGTGCATAAACGAACAACCAAAAACAAGTAAAATACATAATTATCACCAAGTACAAATTTTCACACCTATAATATCACCTTCACCATAAAACACGGCCACCCACGACAACAAGTCAAATTCCACACAAGCACACCCTATCAGTAGCACAGTATGTTTCAAAAAGGAGAAATCCTACTAAAACAATTTTCAAGGATAAATATACTTTGCCATAAATCACCACAGCATCACCCCCCATTTCAAACCAACAGAACCACATATCCCAACTCATTCACCACATTCCTGCAACATCTCCAAAATCTTCACTACATGCACACCCCACCATACTCCGAAACAGAACTCCAAACACCAACAACCATACACACCGTATTAACATCATAACCAGACATCCACTACTCACGACTATTCACACACGCAAACAAAAACAAACAGACAAACCGAAAGCACCAAAGCCTGAACCATTCAACAAAAAACCCAACAAACTAAAAGCACCAGACACAGCGAAAAAAAATACCCTTCCTCACACTCAAAAACACCCAAGTCATAATCATACACGTATCATACACATCGGCAGCGCAAATCACTATTTCATCAAAACAGGTATTCTCTGTTTCATTCAACTTTCCTTGAAATCAATCCACATAAATCAAAATGAAATAAACACAATCCAAATCATAATGTACCATTCACAAAATCACATCGCTAACCACGACAGTAAACCAAAAAATCACGCGGCAATCCATCACCTCAGAACCAAAGAAACAAAGAAAAATCCCTCATCAAATCATTTCATAACGTCAACATAGACATCTACAATCAAACTCAAATTCCAAAAACACGCAACACCAAAAAAGTCATCAGAACACCACACAAACAACCAACTCCAAAACCACCAACGTCCCGCCCCCCACCCCCTCTTCACATAACCACACAAACCCCACCCACAGAACCAACAAACAAGACCCATCCATCAACTCACAAAAAAACCCTTTCATCAATTAATTAACAGCCACAAAATAAAACACTACAAGATCCCCAAACATTTACACAAAGGAAAATCAACCCACACGGAAGCCGCACACAGACCCATCTCCAAACACACATTTCAACATATAAATATCAACTTATCCAACCAATGACAATAAGAACAACAAAAAATCATCAAGTTCACCTACTACAACATCCATTTACACACTCAATCATACATCTCCAGAACAAACCACACTAAACGAAACCTTTTAATACACTAAAGCAAGAAGACAACAGACACCCACAAGCTATTCCGCTTCATCACGATTTAAACATCAACCCAAACAACAACACACACAACCAAACACTCATGAACCATCATAACAAACAACACCCATACAAACACAGAGAGGCAAAACACGAGAATCACATAAACCCCCAAACGTCAGAAAACAAACATCAAAGGACAAAATCCATAAAAATTCAAACAACAAACCGAAAAGATCATCACATAAATTAAGTCAACGACAACACAAAGTCACCCTCTTCATTCAAAACCAACACACACAGAAGAATTTCAGCAAACCAGGGCAATAGCAGCCAATTACATCAAGATACAAAAAAGCGCGACAGCACACACAAAAAAATAAATTTCGAAACAATCAAACCAAAAAAAAAAAGAAACCAACCTAAAATCACAGAACTAAAACAATAAAAGAACAGAATTGGCAACAACGAAACTAAACAGCAACCCAGAATTAAGAGTTTTTCAAAAACCAATCCCACCGCAGAACACTACAAACAATGCAAACGTATGAACATCAAGACATCATATAAAATTCACACAATAACAATTATCAAAGCAGGGAAAAGACACATTGCAAACACATAACAAAATTCGAAACAAGCATCAATATCATCACAGAGGACACAACACACCCTGCAACCACACATCAGAGATCCCCCAGAAATACACATTTCAAACCATCACATATTCAACTTATACAATTTCAGTTATTACAACTCAGAAAATTTTATTCAAGCTATCATACAAGAAAACACCTTCATACATGTCAACCCTACCACACAAACTCAACAAAATGCTCACATCTCAATCAAACTAATAGAAAAAACCACAGATACGATCTTCAAAGCACAGCTCTTCCAAAAAACGAATTACAAACTACCTTCACAGCATGAAATCCAGAACCTCAATTGACAAACTACCCATCATCGATCCTTATACAACAGCCATTGTTGATCAAGGATCACATCATCAAAACACACATCTACAACCCCACAACAACTATAATGTCGCCACAACCTAACAAACCCATAAAACACAAAATCAAATCAGGCCACAGCCAACACCATATAACCCCCAGCACCACTCACACCAATCCCGGCCTCGAGTATCATTCATACATGATATACATCAAACTCAAAAACACATAACAGAAACTACCCATCTTCACCATCCAGATCACCACAAACAACACAAACATAACATCAAACTCAAAACTTCACAAGATAAACGCACCACTTCAGCAACACAACAATGTCAAGTTTTCAAACGTAATCAATCATATCACATGGTACAGTCAAACAAAGATCATACTGATCACCAAGAGCACCAATTCTTCACACCCAACCACGCACCCCACATACCAGCAGTCAACACAGGAATGACACACGTCAATAAAAAACTTCACGTTCAACAAGTTCATTACAAAGGAAACAAATTACACCCCGACCAAATTCAACATCGACCAACATCATCAACCAAAAAAACAACCAAACAACAAATCATTCAATCAACCATGATTATCACAACAATCACAGTAACATGGATACAAAAAAAAAAACACACATCAACACAGCCGCCTCGCAATTCAAAATCACACAATGTACCAAATACACACACAAGCACATATAAACACACAATACCACATTACACTGAATCAATTTCACCCACACACACCACCACCAAAAACAAAATACTTAAACAATACCAGACCCCACACTCACTCAATCATACACAAATATACCAATCACAACTTCCAAAGACCCAGCACAACCAGCCCTCAACACACCAAAACTTAACAATAATTACATGAAAACATAAAACTCATTTATGTCAGAATAGACAGCAAAACACACAAAAGAAATATTAGCCCAACGTATAAAATTAGAAAACAAAGCAAGATATCTCGAAATTACCAAAAAATCTCAGCAGACTCAAAAAGACAATACTGCCATCAAAAATTACAATTTGTCATACAAACAAATAACAACATAAAAAATACATCATAACACATAAAAATTAACAAAAGACCTTTTGTCTTTTTTTTTCACAATTCAACAATAAAAAGTTAGATGTTTCGTCTCTATGCTTCCTTCGATATTCCTTTCAAAAATGAAGTATGAATTCCCTTTCGACCCCCAGGGAAAAATAAACCGAAATTCCAAAAAAAACGCGCAAAAAGAAACGAATGTTCTTGAAGAGTTCGCAAAAACGAAAACACGCAATAAAAAGAAGATAAGTTAATGATGATCTTGTAGCTGGATCCTTCACGTGTTCCTCCTCGGTTGTAAACCTCAGGTTTTCACCTGAGTGTCCGTTGCTCACTGAAAATTGGGAGTATTATGCCAATTTAACAGTGAGTTTAAGGAGAGGGTGCAATCTCCTTTTCTCAATGGAAGGACACCGGAACAGGATTATTGTGCCTGTCTGGGCCTTTTAAGCCTTGTAATTCAGGAAAATGAAGTGGTTTTGGCAGACTTCTGCCCGGAAATGCAGATCCTCCTCCGCGCTGTGATGGCCCTCAGACACTCCTCGACCGCAGGTTGAGACTGTAGATTCTCCTGTATGCCCTGCAGCGTGCGTTGTGGCTCCTCAGCTGACTCCAATGGAACCACGTGTCTCCTTCTCTCTTGTAGACGGACAGCATGAGATGTACTCTCCACGACTCGGTATGGTCTGGCGAAGCGAGGTTCAGACCACTTTCTTTTGATGACCATCAGGCGCACCCAGTCGATTCCCCGAACTGATCCCGAGCCTGGACGTTCCTGTGACGTCTGGTATTTTGTAAATTCTGCTGCCAGGACCTGTAACTCATTGAAGAAATCTTTATGAGATAAATGTGCAAGCTTACCTTTCCATCCTGGAATGCGGGTAGCAGGTCCTGGAAACATCCGTCCTGTCTGGAGCTCATATGGAGAGAACCCTGTTGATTGGTTAATGATTGATCCTACACTTTATGACAGCTTCACTGTCTTCCTTTTGTATTATAAATCTGCTACTTTGGAGCTGTATTTTAACCATCCTTTGACCCTCTTTTTATATAAGGCCTACATGAGAAATGAAAGTTTCCTATCATGTTAAACCCAAAACTTAACTGTATTTTAGAAGCAGTTCCATAACTGTTAATTTGTAAATCTCCAATTTAGACCAATTTAATTTCAATCATCATATTTTCTATTTTTTAAAACCTTAAAGAATGATCAGCCTGCTTTACATGAGTCACTAAATATCAAAAATGACCTACTTTATTCCAATCATATTTTAAATCCCAAAAATTTCAACCATTTTTACCTTTGATCCATTTATTCATTTAAAACCTATTTATAAAATATTTAATTGAATAATGTATTACCCTTTTTATATTGTTTATCAATTATCAATGCCTTTTCAGTTTTGGAGAGAGATTCAATACAGCTAAATTTATTAAATGATGTAAATCTTTAGTTTAGACCTTCCTGGATGTCTTAGTTAAACAACTTATTTTAAAACATATGAATAGAGATACAACAATCCAATGATCACCTTCCTTAGTTTAAGAACACTATTATGTAAATTATTTGATAGTCAATATTTTGTTTAGTATATTCAATTTATACATTTTACTTATTTCATATCCAAATAGTTAGCTCTTCTTTAATGCTGGTAATACACCGTAAAACATTTAATGTATTTTGATTTAACTTCAATAACCTCTTTTTCCGAAAAGTAAATGCAGAGATCCAAACTAAAAATTTGCCTATCAGATCAATTCCATTCATGTCCCCCTGTTTCTATAACAGAACAAATGTTCTGTCATAGAATACAATAAAAATCCTATACAACTCATTGAGATGAAATCCGCTATCACCACTAACTTTAGCCTCATGTAACACAGTTGGATGCAATTCAAACATGGTGTCCCAGTTACTGTTACAATCTGCACACCTCAATCAAAGAATTTAATGTTTGATTAAATTTATGAAATCAACACAGAACTTGGTGTCATTTGCTCAGTAAGTCAGTCTATAGACACCCAATCCACTTTAACACCTTAATTTCAAATTCCATTTAAATTTAAATTTAGTTTTACTGAATGGTAGCCACTGTACTATGTAAATAAAAATTTAGATCATCTTC